GACCACGGGGACCCATGGGACCCTACAAATGGAGAATTGAAGAGACGGTTGGAAGGGAAATACAATGGATAAGATGCAGGATGGTAGTTTGGGGAGCTAGTTATCCTACGAGGGAGAAAAGCGAAAAGGTCAGAGCAAAATGCTCAAGGGGAACATGGTGGGAGAAAGTGGCAGTGTGGGCTAGTGACCCCCGGAAGGGGAAGTGTCATCGTGGAGTTCCTGCCATACTGGTTCTCTGGAAGAGTGTTCCATAGCTAGGGAGGAACAGCTGAGTTTTCTATGGCCCTCCAGTCGTGGGGAAGAGCCGGTAGAGCCTAGAAGCGGACAGTGTATCTTGGGTCTGCAGACTGTCCCTAGAAGTTCCTGGGAGAGGGTAGGTAGCCTATGGTACTCACAGAGACACCAGGCTCGCCAGGTTCACCAGGAGTGCCTTGAAATCCTTGAGGGCCCTAGAAGGGAAAGCAATGACACCGTGTTGACCCCCTAAACTGCTGTCGAAGCTTGATGAGCATCTGACAAGCCACCAAGAGGAAAAGAATGAACACTTACAGGGGCACCGGCAGGGCCTGGGGGTCCTCGAGGTCCCATGGGGCCCTGCATCGGAACAGAAAAAACGAGAGACTTACTGGGCCTGCGGTATCATCAGCTTCAGGGTCCCACCATCTACTAGTCAGCAGTCAGACAAAGGACAAGAAGATCTGGTGGGTGGGATGGGGCCGGGGGCAAGGGGCCTCCAGTGGCTGCTCCCTCTTCTTTCCCACTCCCCACTCAACCCCCTATTTTTTTTTTTCATAGGCACCATTTGGACCAAGAAGCTGGCCTTGCTCTCTCCTGGATGGCAGCCATGTTTACTAAAGTCTGAATTTCATTTAGCATGGGCCAAGCCAGCGCTGCAGGGTGAGATTTCCTGCTGGAAGCCTTGTGGATGCCGGGGGAACAGTAGCTGCTGTCTGTGCTCCTCAGTTCTCCTTCCAAGAGTAATAGCAACTGGCCGCCTAATCCATCAGCTCCATGCATCTCTCCATCCTCATTCTTCCTACTCACCCCGGAGCTTCATTCAAACCAGCACCCATCACCATTAAAAACCAAACTCCTCGGGCTCTAACTAAATGAGAGGTTTTGCGTAGCGGATGGAGATGAGATGCTCCCAACCGACCGTGATCTACAAGGCAGAGGTTGTTGGGACTCTGGCTTTCCTAAGGATGACCCGCTCCCTCTGGGGCAGCTAAGGACCGCTGTCTCACCATTGGGCCTTGCATCACCCCCATCTGGGCGCCGCCAGCTTTCTCATCGAATCCTCCAGCCATCTGAGCCGCAAAGTTCTGCAAACCAATGCAACAGCGTTAGGAGGCGGAGGGGCCCTGGGTCCTCCTTCCTGCTCGCCAGGGAGCTTTATGTGAAGAGAGAGAGAATTCTACCTCGTCTCTAGTGAGTAGAGACTGGCTGGGTATTGATCAGAACTACCAAAGGGACCACTGACCAAGTTTGGGGAATGTGTTCTTGAGACAGTGGAGGAATCACTTCCCTGGGGGAATCAAGTGCTATTGGTAATAGTCCCAGTCCCTCACGCTCTGCTTTGTAACCTTTTTGCCCTCTAAAACGTTACATAAATAAAGCATCACTTTCAAAAGGCGTTCTTTGTTCTCCCAAATGGGTGACGCCTGGCAAAGGCCTGAGATCTGGTCTTGAAATATTTCAGGAAGGGCTGGTTGTAGTAGGTGTCTGTGAGCCCACTTCAGCTGAAGAATTTCAAACATAGCAGACCTCCAAATGGCACACGTACAAAAGCCGGGCAGTCCTATAATTTGTTGGCTGGTGTGATTCCAAACACGACAGTCGCCACACACCTCCACTCAGTGGGGCTCTTTCATGAGAATGAATAGTCGCTTGGAATGTACTTGGCAAGGACCACGGACAAATGTCTTCCAAGGACAGTGGTCACCGCTCTTCCAGAGAAATACAAGTGCCCAGTCATTTTTTTTTTCCCACACCCCTACACCCACTCCCAAGACTCAACCGCATGATGGGGTGCCAGGAAGCCAGGTAGCTGAAGGCCTTCTTTACAGAAACCCAGTGAGGAGAAAAGCCAGCCTTTAGCCCCGTAGCCTCAAGCTTCCTATGTGATTCCACTCAATTACAGGCCCGAGGCAAAGCCTATGAACAGGCTATGTACACACGGCTGGCAGTCCTGGGGCCCGTCAGGTAAGTGAAAGTAGCAATTTAGAAGCCGCTGTTCTGGAGAGCCAGCCCAGAGAAAGGAGACATAAGGACACTTACTCCAGTAAGGCCAGGGGGGCCAGGGGGGCCTGGAGGGCCAGGGGGACCAGGATTTCCAGGGGTACCAGGCTCTCCATCTCGGCCACGAGGTCCAAGTGCACCCTTGCCAGGAAGAGAAAAAGGCATCCGTGAAGCAACACTTCCTTGGGAGCCCCCTGCCCTGCCCCAGGCGGCTCTCGGGGGGGGGGGGGTGATCCGGCCTTCAGAGGACCCAGGGAACACACAAGTCAAGTTTTGTCGACACTTACCTTTTCTCCCTTTTCACCACGGTCACCTCTGGGTCCTTGTTCACCAGCAGGTCCCTGAAGGTGGGGGGCATGGTGGCATGACATGAGGCTAGAGGCCACCATGGCTCAGTTGCAGTAAGGGAAGAAGAGAGCGAGGGACCCTTCCCTTTCTTACCTGAGGGCCAGGGGGTCCTTTGGGTCCTACGAACTGTGGAAGAGAGAACCACAGGCCTGTTGGTTAGAGGGACCTATGTAGAACAGCAGGTACATGGGTTGTGGAGGGGATAATTGATACTTACATCCTTGATGTCTCCAGGTTCTCCTTTCTGGCCCTGCAACATGAAACATCGACAGGAGTAAGCTGAGCGGAGCCAATTTGCTCCAACACGAAAACCCGAAAACCCCACCCGGGGCCACCCTAGCCCGCGCGCGCGCGCGCGCCCCCTAGACTGACATCTTCTAAAGTCTAAAGAAGAGGCCCAGGCCAGATTAGCATCTCAGTGCTTCTGGAAAAGAGCATTGGGGAAGCAAAACACGGAGCCACCGAAATGGCCCAGTGGCCAAAAGCTCTTATGGCACCAGCCTGGTGGCCTATGGTGGGAGGAGAGAAGCAACCCCTCAGGGTCATCCCCTTCCGCCTCACACACATGCACCATAGCACAGGTGCGTCCGCACTCACACACACCTCACGTGGGAGGAAGTTAAAAACAGTGTGCCTTACCTTTGGCCCTAGTTTTCCTGCAAGGGAGAAAAAGAGAAGAAGATGAGACAGGGACCATTTCTTGTCATGCAAACTCTCTTTGGAGGATCAAAGTAAGGGACCACAACCAAGGAAGGAAGCAGGTTCCTCTGTGGCTCCCCCCCCCATCCCTCTGTTGGGGGGAGGGGGTTGTTAGGATCACAGAGCCCTTTTGTCACTGAGGACTCACAGGAATGGAGGTGTCTCTAACCTTGTTAGTCAGAAAGCATGCATAGTGTACAGGAGTGGTTGGTTGTGAGCAGGAAAGAGGCAACCAGGAGGCAAAGCAAAAAAAGACCCACAAGTCAGGCAAGCATCCCAACCCACGCCCTCCCGAAGAAGAGTTGTGAGCCGAGGAAGCCTTACATTAGCGTGGAGTCTCCTTGAAGCAAGCACAAAAAAGAGCAGGACACAGACGTTAGGAAGAGTATTGCAGCCAGAGCCATCCCAAACTCGTAAGCCCCTACCCCACCACAGCAGCAAAGGCCTATGGGCCATCAACACTGCACTGGTATGGGGGCCCTCAGACACCGAGAGTGTCCGAAATCTGCACCATACCAGGCATCAGTGTTGGGGAGGTATTCAGGAAAGGCAACTTCTCGATTCCTGTTCAACTCTCCTCTTGTAGGAGAGAACAAGGAGCCATGGGGAGGCTCCTGCTTGTGCCCACCTTCCCTGGAGGGAGATGGGACACTGTGTGAGCGCTGGGAAGCGGTCACCTGTATTCATGGCAGCACTGGTTCTAGCTGGGAGTTAATAACTGTCACCTGCATAAGGGAACATGGCCACCCTTTCAGCTCCCAGAGCCCAGCCATCCCTTCAGCTCCTCTGCTTCTTAAATGGTGGTCAACACCAAGAGGAGGTCAACATGCAGAGGGAATATCACCATTGCATTCTACCCCCAAAGTAGAGTACAGTGTCCTCTGCTCTGTCCCCCCTGCTCCCTGACAGAGGTTTCTCCGCATTAACGGCCATGTCCTTGAAGGTTTTCTATAGAGAGGACAAGATATGGGTGGCAGAAGATGAATTAACTCGTGCTGTAGCTAGACAGAGCCTGATTTCCACTGTGTGGCTCTGCTAATGAGCAGGCTTGGCTCATGAAGGGGAACTTTTGTGGAACCATAACGGTAATTCCATAAGTGTCAGAAACATCCTCCTGAGGTATCAGGCGAGGGAGGGTCTCTCTGATGACTTAGTCTCACCAGGTTTCAACCCGCAATCGAGAAGTGGCCTTGCCTTCTTCCTGCCCCTACTGCTGGGGTCAAATGGATAACGCAGCTTCTCAGACCCGGGAGAAGACCGACATCCACGGGGAGCTCGCTGCTGCAAGTAATTTATTTATGTTGAGTAAGAAATAAATAAATTACGACCACTGGCAGGGGGCAGTTCAGCCGTGCAGATGGGGCAGCACTCTCCGAAGGGGACTTCGGGATTGAGGCAGTCCTTGTCTTCACAGATTATGTCGTCGCAGAGGACATTGCCAGTGTCACACACACAGATGCTGCAGGTCGTGGGCTTCCATACATCCTTATCTTTGTACGTTTGCCCATCGTGCAAACAGCTGCCCGCCTCCTCTGTACCAAGCGGGAGGGAGTGGCCGAGTGCCAGCGCAGGGAGGGAGCAGAGGCAGGGAGAAAGAAAAGAGGTGGCCATCAACTTGACATCGTTCAGACGCTAAGGAATGGGGGACAGCCAGACCACACCAGACAGACTGAACGTACAAATTCGTTTTGGAAAACATGGCTCATCTTTCTGTGCATTCCGGGGTATCTCTTATGTGTCTTGTGCAAGATGGGTATGTTGGAGGGGGCGGGGGGGGGATGCGGTAGGAATCATGACCCAGCAATAAAGGAGAGTGAGATGCTCTAGCTGAAGAGCAAAGACTTTTTTCTTTTTTCTTTTTCTTTTTTTTTTTTTTTTTTTTTTTTGGTCATCCTCTAGGGATAATGAGACAGCGAAAATTCAGAGAAAATGCAGAGACGTCTACCCACAAACATTAGAAGATATAAACAATATGTTAAACAATAACTTAAAAGGCAAGCTGGGCCCTCCCGCAGTGAGTGGCACTTTGGCCAGGAGTCTCAGTCTGAAGCTGGCAGCCCCACTATGGGGGGCGGCAGGCTCTAAATGTCTGGCCTTGACTGAGGTTGACCAGTCTAGACCTGCATCCTCCCAGAATGCAGAGAATAGCTCGGACTGGACCCTCTCCACCAGCGCCCTGCCGTCTGGAATTCGCCCTGCACACGAAAACTGTGCTGACAAGAGAGCTTCTCAGAGCGCCAGGGACCCAAGAGCCCGCACCACGTGCTAGGCAGCGCCCAGCGCTGTTTTTCTCATTAAAATCTCAAAAGCAATGGCCAAAGCGGAGGGCGAATAATAGCCGGGAGAGCCGCAAACCCAAGGGGCGTGGAGAGAAACAAACGCGCCTGCCTTCTGCTCTTGAAGGAGAGCGAGAATCCAAAAATCAAAGTCTCCCTTTTCTTTTCCACTGGAAGGAATCTATCTAGCCTTCAGGCAAGACAATCAAGAGGAAGGTGAGGGGGCCCCAGGAAATATGTCGAAGCTGCTGGGATACCCCCTTCCCCAGCGGAGCTAAAATTAGCTGGAGGTGATGAGAGGGCAGCGTCAGCTAATGGTGTCCAGTCCTGACTGAGAAAAAGCACTCTATCGCCCACGACAGCCTGGAGGAGCCCGAGGAAAGCCGGGGGAGGGTGCATCGTGAAAGCTGATCGGGTTCCCCAGGAAGGGAGCCCCGGGGGCGGCGAGGGCCAGGGGCGGGGCGGGGCGGGCCCCTGGGTGTGAGAGCCACTGGCCGACTCTTTGTGGCTGGGGCTCGGGACACTGCCCTCCGGCAGACAGACACCCGGAGAGTAAAAAGTGGGATTAAATGACTGCCCCCAGAAAGGAGCCAACACCGTAACCAGATCCCCTAGGTGCGGTCGGAGGAAGCCAGCACCACCCTTAACTGTGGCACGAAAGGGGCTACAGATAGCATCCTGGCCGCCCGATCGGGTTCCCCTCGTTACCGCCGCGCGGCATAAGTGATTCTTTGTGGCCGGCCAATTAAAAAGCTACCTCTTTCGGGGAACTGTTTTGCTTAGTCGCCGCTGCGCGCGGGGCCAGAGCCCGGGAGGTGGCGGCAGGCGGGCACAGGGGGGCATTGTGGGAGAAGGGGATCGGGGAGTCCGGGCGGGGGAGGGGGGCGCGACCCACCAGGCCTCGCCTCTCATGAATGGGGCTTTTCTCGAGCGCATACAGAGCCCGATTCACAGGTCTCCGCGAGGAACCAGTTTAAATAAATATGGGCAGGGTTTCAGCCCATCTGGAAGCCATCGCTGCCAATCCCCCAACGCAAACACGCTTCACAAAGGAGGACTGAGGTCTGCCCCCTCCCCCCCCCCCCCCCCCCCCCCACACACCCCCCGCCACAGCCAGCAGCACTTTTGGAAGCTAGGGCTGAGATATGCAGATGTGGGTCAAAGTCCCCGGGGCCAAGAAGTTTCCCAAACTCGTGGAAAGATGGAGAGGAGGAGCGTAGTGGACTCTAGGTTTCTGACATTGCTGACGTCCATCCAGGCTACGCCTTTCCGTACATCAGGTCTTTGGGTCCTATGGACCCAAGGCTGGAGTGTGGGGGTGTTTGCGTAGATGGGACGACGACCCGGGATGCAAAATCAACAGGTCAGAGGCAGAATCGTATTCCTCCTAGGAGGAGGAGACTGGAAGTTTTAGACCGCCCCCCTCCCCACCAAAAAAACAAAAAACAAACAAACAAAAAAAAAAAAAACTGTGGAGTTCACTCTCTGCCAAGAAGGTTGCGGCAGACAGAGCTCTTCACCACTTAAGCCAGGGCCTCTACTATCCGATGGAGAATTAGGGAAATAGTTCAGACACAGCTCACTCCATTGCTCGCTATAGAAAACACCGGTCAAGACCACAACTTTGTGGATGTGTGCTTTCAAATTTAGGACAAAAATAGTCAGGCTGAGCTCAGACCACATACAAACACTGGACATTCCCCCGGAGCTTGAGCGCACGACCCCGGCTTAGCTCGCCACCCTGGGCGGCGGGGCCGGTAAGTGCTATCCTGGGCTCCACATTGCAAGGCTCTCCACTCCAACCCTGCCCCCGCTGCGCCCGTCCGGGGTAAGGAGAAGAAAGTCCGCCAGGGCCCGCCGCCTTCCAAAGCATCTCTGGAGACAGCCTGGTGGCAGGGGGAAAGCGCACAGTCTCAGAGGCAGAGAGAGGGTCTTTGATCCCCACCCGCTACCCAAAGAGTTTCAACTGCGATTGATTTACAGTCTGTAACATAAAAAGAGAAGACTGGAATCCCAGCCGTCGGAAACGTGCCCAAACACGTGGAAGAAAATTCTCTCTACCTAATACACTTTCCAGGCTTCGTTTGTCCTGAATATAATCCCAGACAGTGGATCTTACCCAGGGAGGAGGTGGAAAGGTGCGGGGAGCCGCCCTTGGACCAGGGCTGTACAGTTGCAACTACAGCCACGAACGGTTCTTTGGCCTTCCCCTTCATCCGCTGCTACAGACACAGTAAAGTAACTCATGGTAGACCCTCAGGAGGGAGGGTGTGCTCTGGGGCGCGCGGGGGCGGGGGGGCATTTGGAAAGCAGGTCTGGTTGGAGTGTCAATGTTTTTCAGACGTTCCCGCAGCCCAAAGGAGGCAAGGGGAGAGCGGAGTTTCAGAGAAAGGCCGGCTGCACCTTACTCTGGGCCAGCCTGGAGGGGGAGGGAGCTCGCGAGCGGCGCCGAAGTCGCAGAGAACCTCTTTTTCTTTGTAGCCTCAGATTTCAACCCATCAATGTCAGAGTTAGTCCTTTGTCTAGCGCCCCTTTGAGCCCCGCAGCCTCTAACCCCTGGGCTCGGCTGAGAAGTCAACCCGTAGGCGTCTCTCGATCTCTCGCCTATTTTGCTGAGCTCGAACCTCCTGATCAAAGCTGATGGAAAGGGGCGCGTTTACATCTGCGTTTAAACCTGTCGCCTCCAACGCTCTGCAAGTTCATATCCTTGCTTCACGCAGGGACCTGCAAATGTCTCCACTCACAACTCTCATCGAGGATGCTGCGACAGAGTTCCTCACTCGCGGAATTCGGCTCAGTGGACTCCTGTGCACTGTGCGCCTAGGTCTCGGCGCCCTAAACCCGGATCGGGGCTGGGCAGGGGGAGGAGAAGGGACGCAAGTCAGGAAAGCAGGCAAGGGATGTGGGCGACTTACCGGCATCCAGGCCCTGACACCGAAGGACCGCGGCGACGAGCAGCGTCAGCAGCACCAGCGATTGGGCAGCCCCGAGGCGGATCATGGCTCACCGTGGGGCCTGGCAGAGCCTGGCCCGGGCGAAGCGCAGCGAGGCGGCAGAGCACGGAGCGGGTCCGGGTCTCTACCGCGCCCTCATGCAGGAGGCCCTAGGGGCAGGAGGAAGAGGCAGGAGACCCGGCAGCCCTGCAGCGCTCTGCGTCTTCTCCCGGCAGAGGCTCCCGTTATATGCGCCCGGTCGCTCCAAAGGCTGGCAAAGCGGCCCAAACCGCGGGCCGCCCCCCAGCCCCCCGCGGGGCTGTAACCTGAGACCCCGCCCCCGGAGCCCGCCCAGGCCGGACCAGAGCCCACACCTGCCAAGGCCAGACTCCCCTCTCGTGAGCCCAGCTTCCCGCCCCCCATGTGCCCAGTGGCCTGATCGGGCGGGGCACCGAGACGGACTCCGGTCGCCCCCGCTTGGGACCGCCGCACAGCCCCCTCCAACCACAGGCGGGAAGGGGGGCCTCCGGCCCCTCCCCTCGAAGTTCTGCTGGGGAGTTAGAGGGGAGGGGGTTGTTTGCAGAGGCATAAGCCTGGAGCTCTAGACCCAGGACAGAAAAGACAGGGAGGACGAAGCAACAGAATCAAGGAAGGTGGGGATGGGAAGTTTAGGGGGCGGGTGGTGAATGGGGGACCCAAGTATGAGCCGATGGAAGTTGTCCGGAATCCTAAATCTGGGGGGACAGTTGTCCAGACCTGCCTTCTAGCCCCTTTGCAGAGTACCTGACCCTGAACTCCCACCTGGAGGCTCGCAACGACATCCTCCCTCACCCATCCCCCATTCAAGTAGCTATGAAAGGGCCTCCGCTGCAGCCTCGGCAGACACTGAACTGAACGGATGCCCAGGACAGGGGCTGGTGTATTCCTGCACAGAGGGAGACCTGTGTGGAGGTGGGGGCCAGGGGCAGCCCAGGGAAGGGACTGAAGGAATCGCAGAGAACCAAGGGAGCGGGACAAAACGGTGCACGCCGCCGCGGGATTGGAGATACTGTCTGGTTGGTCTCTTTCTGGCCCAGGTCCAGGCATCTCCGGGGAAGTGGGCGCCCTTAGCCTAGATGGAGCAGCGCTGGCCAGGGACTGTTGGCAACTCTAGCCAGAGAGTCTGGAGGCTGCTCTGGCTGGACTCAGTTTTGTGAGGGGCGGGGAAAGCGCCAGAGTTTCCTAGTTGCGCCCCCCCCCCCATTACTCTCCATGTCTTCCCCACCTCTGGGCTTCCAGCCTCGCTCACCTTCCCTGCCTGTTCCCCCCCCCCCACACTTAGCCCCAAACTGCCAAGGTCCTAGGCTCAGTCTGGCACTTTTTTTTTTTTGGTATAATTTTCATTTTCTCCCTTATATCTACTGAATTTGCTTCACCAAGCAGCGTGGAAGGTCTGTGAGAACACAGCTGTACTGAGCACAATTTTCAGCACAAAGGGGGAAATTTTGGTCAGCTCATGTGGACTGAGTTGTTAAGATTTTAAAAAAAATAGAATTTATTTTGCACTTCTATTTTTTTTTCATGTGTGCATACCGGTTCTGTCCTTCTAACACATGGGTTCTGAGGATGGAAGGTGAGAAGAGCCTTTATGCCTGAGCAATCTCACTAGTTCCTGCAAAGTAGACTTTATTTTATGAAACAAGTAACGCATAGGTACCTATAAAGTTAGTCACTCAAATAATTGGTCTCAATGCAAAAAAAAAAGTGGGCTATTCTTGATTTTTCCTCTAACTCTAATTCATTGTGACCAAAGGGCAGCATCTACGTATAAGAACCCTGCATCAAGGTTTCTGTTTCCCTGTAGTTAAAAGCAGAATTATCAGGGATGGGAACTAATTAAAGTAAATCCATTGAAAGCTCAAATCGACAAAGCCAGAATAAATGGAAATCATTGACACTCCACAGCCAGATATAGACTCTCATTGTCCGGAGCCTAGTGATGGGTCTGGAAAGAACCGAAGAGCCAACATCTGAGTAACCACAAGTTCTGCATCCTTCTTACTGGGTGTCTATCGGTTCATAGTTAACACATTGCTCCAAAGGGAGTGTCACCTGACCTCACTAATTAGATTCACACAAATAGAGCAGCTGTTTCCAGACAACACAATGAATACAGCAAGAGAGCCGGGAATGTGGTCAAGTGGTAGAGAGTTTGCCTAGCATCCATGAGGTCCTGGGTTCTATCCCTAACACTGGAAGGCGGGAAGGACCATTGCTGATAACAAACAACAAACACACAGACAAACAAAACCCCAGCAAATGGAGCTGGGACAAGACAGAGAAGCAATATGAAGTTGACACGAAGAAGATAACACATGAATGTCCGGGGTCAACAGGGAACAGGGAGCCTCAGTGGCAATGGCTCCAGAGAACATCCTGACGTACAGCCTCCTGCCTTTTCTTATGATGGAGACTGACCTTAAAGCCGCATTCCTGAGGGCTAGCTTTCATGGAAACAGAAGGTACAGTGCAAGCTTCCACAAAAAGAGAGCAACCAAGAGCCCTACACACAGCTAGGATGCCTAGGAACACAATGGCCAGTGTGCATGATAACCCTAAGGGTACAGGATGGCAAGAATACCTGGGCAGTAACCAGCGGCTCTCTAAGTGGACTTAAGACCTTCTTAAAAAGAGGGAAATCATGCCTGGTACTGGAAACTTAGCTAACTACTCCGAGCTAATGAAATCATGGATCTTGGAAGAGCGCCTACAGCCACCACTTTACTAAACTAGCATAATTCCTAACTACATTCTAAATATTTGTCCTTATACCCACAGATAAGTGTGGTCCTCCCCCCTCATCAAGGAAAGTTCTCTTTGACAGAGACCCACTACAGAAAACCACAACCAATCAAAGTGCAGAGTTGTGGAGCCCAGTCCCAACGGATTCATCTACAATACAACTCCCCCACCTAAGGCTCAGGGGTCATTGCAGAAGGCGCCCCCCCCCCAAAGATTGTAAGAGCCAGAGGAACAGGGAGTTAGCAGTGAGACTGTGTGTCCTGGGAATGTCAGAAGGTATGCCCACAAAGTCTCACCAACATGGCTACCTCAACATGAGCTGAACAAGGACAATGATAAACATGCTAACAAGAATTCAGGGGAAAGGTGGGTGGGTGGGTGGGTGGGTGGAGCCCAGGAGGCCTCAGCTCCACACACAAAAATCTACAGAACAGTAAGGAATCCTGAGAGTGGGAGAAATAGTCTTCCCCAGAGAAGAGTACACCAATTGGTTATCCAACCAAATGGTCAGTCCTGAAAACATAATATGCAAGTAACATTATACCAATTGAGCAAATTGTAGTTATGTGTTTCCTAATATATATACACACACACTTTGATTTTTGAGACAGGGTTTCTCTGTGTAGCCCTGGCTGGCCTTGAACTCACAGAGATCTGCCTGCCTCTGCCTGCCGAGTGCTGGGACTAAAGGTGTATGCCACCACTGCCCGGCTTAAACACAGTTTCGTAATGTGAAAAACTTTTATGCCGACATCAGATAGATGAGGAGATGTCACAATCTCTAGATGGAACTGGAGCAAAGAATTTCTGTCTGTCCCATTCGGGAGGAAAAGGAACCCGATTGTCAGAGAATAAGGGCTCCATGTGGCACCGTCATTTGCTCTTTCCTTTGGGAAGAGGTACACGGTAGGAGTTAGGAGGTTAGAAAGTAGACAGACAGTTGGTGTCTACCCTAAATCAGACAACTCACAGAACAGATAGGTGGATGGCTTTGTGTTGTGTAGACAGAATAAGTACTGCACTATTTTTCTTTCTTTATGAAGCTATTTAGACTTTTTTTGTGGTGCTGGGTTGAACTCAGGGCCCCACACCCACCAGACAAGCACTCTCCTGCTGAGCTATAGTCTCAGCCCAAATTTAGACTTACGTAGACACTCCCTTATTGGGAAAGATATTAATAGGAATACTGTAAAGAAAAGACCTCTTTCTCGTCCTCTACCTAAATCCACTTAAAAATAGTGATAAAGTAAGGAAGGATCCACATTCCGAAGAGGTAAGCCCACCCCAAATATGGCAGGTGGTGAATGACATGCTTCACCCAGCCTTGGAGGAGGGGTGGACCTGGCTCCCCCTGACACTCAGCCTCTGTTGGTTGGGCTTGGTTCAGACGGCCTTTCAAGACGTGTTTATGTTTTCTTTTGGCATTTTTGGGCCACAGTAACAGGATCATGACTGTCCAGGATAGGGTTGTTCCAGATTTATGGTGTACATTCCATTCCATAGGAGCATAAATGCGCTACTGTGTGTTCTCAAATGCAAACAGTATTAAGAATCCCACCCAGACTCGGGCCTGAACCAGTGCCACACAAATCCAGTTTAGTACTTATGCTAGACCTCTACTTCTCCACAAAACAGAGACACAGTGTGAATTTAGATGCTACCTCTGAATCCAAGGGGACGCAAGAGAAATATGATGATGAAAAATTATAGGAAATAAGCTTTATTTCAAAGGAAGGAAAGGGGGGAAGAAAAGGAACATTGATGCCAAGGAAGGGCTGAGAAGAAGGGATGAGAAAGGAAGGAGAAAGGAAAGGAAGTATTACAGAAAACAAATGATAAGCAGAAGCCAGTTTCCTGAAGGAAGTGAGTCTGAGGATGCCTGGGTTTGGAAATACAGATGTCCAGTGAGAATAAAGTTCTATATGAAAGCAAAGAAGGATGGGGGTGGGGAAACCAGGAGACATGGCAAGGGGTCCAAGAACAGTGTAAACTCCAAGGGTCTGGGGGGTGGGGAGGTGGGGATAAAACATAGAAATAAGGGAAGAAATTACAAATAGATATGGAGGGCTCCTTGAAAGGTACTAGTTACCTGTATTACTTCTTTCTTTGTCTGTTTGCTTTGTTTTTGAGACAGGGTTTTCCCCATGTAGCCCTGACTGTCTTGGAACTCTCTGTAGACCAGGCTGGTCTCAA